GCGGCAAACAAAAAACATGTTCGAAAAACCCCAGACGCACTGCAGCGGGGGTTTTCTCGGCCAGGACCCACTCACCATGTAAAAAATTGGCTATTAAATTGAGCCAACTTCATGATTAAGATTAATTAAAGAATTCGTGGGAATCGAAACTATTCAGGTGACTGGGGCTTTCCTTCAATCAATTATGGAAGGTTGAGTGCGCTTTTGAAATAATTCTCTTGATGAGTGTGGCATACTAAACTACTCATTAAATTATGTCACTTAGCACGGCTGCAATTTGATGATGAATATTTTTCCTGGACATTTCGAGAATGGTGACTTTTGTTTTTCACCAGAGGAGGGGGTTTTCGAATTCTGACCAGGACCAACGCTCGTGTTCCCTGCTGCCAATCACAACTTTATATTTAGCTTATCGCCGTTGATTTTAACGACTTTGCCTTACTTAACCGTGAATGTGTTCCAAAACATTTCCAAGGCGTGTTCCACGCAGTGGAGCAAAAATAAACACCAACTTAATCACCAGACGTTGTATCGGAACGAGCCCCCAAAAATAATCGGTAAAAAGTAGCTTTTCTCAGGTATGTATATTTTCATTATTATCACATTGTCGTAAAAATTCGGCTAAAGTTGAACAAAGCGTCGCGATACCACACAAAGAAAGTTAAAATTAAAGTGCCCAAGAAGCGCGGAAGATTTTGCACTCCCATATATGTAAGGTGTTTAAATTAATATATATACCTGGTATGCATATGATTGTTTAATGCACCGATTAATTGATGCCAATGACAATGACGGGCCCTTTTGGCCACTCGAAAATGTTTTTCTCTGGCCCAACACTTGACCCGCTTAGCAGGGGGTTGGTCAGCTCAGAAATCAATAGGCACACCTGGAAATGACAGGTGGGCTTCGAACAAAAACCGAAAACGGAAGCCCACCACCACCACCGCCGCTGGCTTTTCATTTCACAAGTGCCTGTCTCTGTTTTTGATACGCTTTCCAAAATGTAAATCACAATCCCACAAAATTCTGCTTTAAAGAGATGTGGATTCCCTCGACTTTAGCCAGGTGCAGCCATTAAGGCCGAAAAGGAGTCACCTGCTAATTGATGGCTTGTCTGTGCCACAAAAGCCAGTCGGCTGACTCGACTTGGTCTTCCCCAAACGCACTTGCGTCAAGACCGAATGTTTATACTACTGCTGCTATCTGAGTCACGGCCAATCAGATACTTTCAAAAAGTGGATATTTTTCCCCAGTTACAAGGGGTTTTTTCGCGCGAGATCAACATTCTGATTTGGTTCTCGCACTTTTTTTTTGTTCGTGCTAATTTCCAAATCGGAAATGCTGCGGTTGATCTAGCGCAGAAGATCTGGACTTTCTGGGGGATTTGCATAAAATCTTCTTCGCGGGTTATTTCCTAGGAAATGTTCTATTGACGTCTATTTTCACAATGGTAAGGCAGTCGCCAAACGAATGATTTGACAGTTTTGTTTTGGTTTGGGTTTCTCGTCATAGAAACTGGTTTTTCCAAACGCTATTTAGCATAATTCGCTAAATATGCTCCACATAACGCCCTGTTTTGTTTGGCTACCGTTTGTTATTTGTTAAGAATGTCATGTTTTGGAAATCCAGCCCGAAAAATTCTCGCCTCAAGTTGTCAAGGCAAGCAATACGAAATTCTTGGCCAATTACTTGAGAGACCCAACACGAAGGTCAGGCACTTTCTAAGGCCTTTTTGTGTTCGAATCGGAGGTGTTTGCCAGTGGGCTCCTGTATATTAACATAAATTACGATTCAATCGAGCAGCTGGCCATAAAAACAACTAGTAACAATTTCATTAGACCAGCTGCGATGATGTTTTAGCAGGCGGTTGCACCAAGGTACTAAGATACTAAGATATAGTACTTTCAATGCTTAAACGAGGGTGAAAAGTGGCGACTAATTAGCGACAAGTGTCATGAGTCGACGTTGGGGTGAGCTCATTTGTTGGCTTTGCATTTTATGTAATGCAATATTTAATCAGCTGCCATTGCATTCTAAATTTAAATTTAAATTCCCCGCTTGGCAGTGCGGCGCGTGCACGAAAATTCCATTGAACTTGAATGCTGCGCAGGTTGGTTTCGGTTTGGTTTTCGTATTTGGTTTTTTGGTTTTGGTTATGGTTGCCACCTGTGCAGGAAGTCGCGTTCGGCGCTTAAGTCTTTTGATTATGTCGGAAACGCTTAAATATGAGTTAATGTGCGACGTTGGCATTATCGTGTAAACGGCGATGTAAATTTCGGAGACTACGTGATCTCGGCCCGAACAACCACATAATCCTCTTCTAATGATCCATTAATCATCGAAGCGTGGCCCAACATTGTAGCGATCGGTGATTATCTAATAGGTATCTCAAAGATGACAGGGCGAGATCTGTATTACATTAACTAAGTAACTAACTATCGGCTATAAAGCATAGGCAAATACAGAAATACAATACTATATAATCGCTCATTCAAATGCCAAGTTCAAACCGCACCCTCTATAAAGCATTGTCTTAATGGCAAACCACAAACATATCGACAACTAAGGCCGGCAGCTCCGAAAAAAAGAGAAACAATCCAGAGGCACAGGTTCAATGAACGGCTGTCAAGGGAACGCTATTTTTAAGTTCGATTTAATTTGATTTGTTCGCATTAATTGCGCGGATATCTTTCTCCCAGTTGATTCACAAACGGAAGTCCAAGTAACTCACTGACTAACCGACTAAGGAGATTCTTGCAACTTGAACGGGGGATCGGTGCAAGGCTTGCCATTTAAATTTAGAAAGTAAAAGGCGCGTTATGTGTGATAAACCAATGCTGGCTGACTAAGCGACTCGCCAAACTGATTGCATGTTATTTGCACATTACGTGCCCATTACGCAGATGTAATATAATAATTACAGCAGCCAAGAACCATTTGTGAAGGTGATTATACGATGCCCTAAAGAGGCGATCGTGAAATGTTATTTAATTGTCTGTTGATTGGCAGTATTTTCTATAGGAACTTTTCAGGAGAAGGAAACTAATTACAAATAATAACAGAGAAATACGGAATTAAAATTTGTCTATAAAAAAATTAAGAGGCTTAAACCATTTCTAAAAATTCCACAATCATATTTAATTAGACTATAAATCAAATTTAATTATATGGTAACGTTCATATGTTATGAGTAATCTTTAAGGAGCTATTAGAAAATACCTTAGGTGTAAAAAAGAATCAATAATTTTATTTTTTAAGATTAAATGTAAAATATTTATCAAACGTTTTTTTAATTAAATTAAGATAGATCTACACAAATTATAGCTTTATAAAACAAATATCTTGTAAGCTAGAATTACATCTGTAGTCAACTTGAAATACCTCAAGCACCTTCACCTAGCTGATATAGCCAATTATAAGCACGTTCTGTTCGATCACAGTGCAGTAAAATTACGGCTAAAACTGATAATATAAATGTATGTAACTTGCTTATAGAATGGAGTAAAAAGCCTTAAAGCCATAACAACAATTACGGGTAAGACTGCATAAACTGAATGACCTTTTTGGTCACCAACGTAACGACGACGCACAATATTGTTATAATGTTTTCCTTTTTTTTCTGCTCTTCCAACATGATTATTATGTACTATTTGCTTAGTTTCAACTCCAGCGACGAGCTCGTAAATTATGCAACAATGCAACACATAAATCTCCAGCCGGAGGCTGTTTTAGAATGCCTCCGCTTGCCGGCAGGTGAAAATCGCGGCGTGACTACACACAATGACGGACCATGTACGGCTTGCCACGCCTATTTTCGGCCAATTAGAATACCTCAATATCTGAATCTGAATCTGAATATCTGAAATTCTCAGCTTAATCGACAAAGGCAGAGAAAAATGATTGCGTGTCAATAACATCGAAAGAATTTCGCGCACAAAGCTTAAACAATCGTTACGCAACTGCCGGCATTTAATTAACAAATTGCAATTTAAATATTCTCGCATTTATTATGCACGCTTGCATTTCATTATAAATTTTAATGTTTGCCCGCCGGTTTGACTTGATTTTTTACCATTTTTGGTGCTGTGTTTGCTTTAATTTCCATACATTTTCAAACCGTTTCGATCGCTGGTGCCTGGTGAATAAACCAATTAACATGCACAATTGTTATAAATGTTAAAATCAAATCAACAGGTTCTAACCGGATGAAAATTTCGCTTACCGCCGGCAAACAAAGCGGTTCAGAGATCATTAATCACAAGAACTTGGTACCATTTAAAAATAGATCCAATGACTCAAAGGCTATCTTTGATATATAGATTACGACGTGTTTCTAATGGGTGTTGAAAACCAATGTAATGGGTTCGCGCTAATTGCCGGATAAACCCAAGGAAGAGGGCATTGGAACAGAACTGGGGCTACGGGTTGCGTTAGTCACGCATTGTGTTTAAAGATTTTTATATTTAATTAGCGGCATGTTCGGGGTAATTGGGTGTTTTTCCTTAACCTGCTTTGCAACACGTCATCGCCGGAGTTTTGACCTCTCACCCCGCGGTTGTTCTTTGCCCTCTCGAAGAGTCAAGATTCCTGGCATAACCCCGCCGCCGCATGTCATTCCACTCCACTTCAAGAAAATGCTGTAATCGGCGGTCCGCTGATAATTAAATCTGATCAATTGCTTTCAGCAATGCGATTCGAAAGCCTTTTGCATTGGCAACCAGCTTCCCGACTTCGTGCCGTTCTAGAAGACCTGCACAGATGATATATAGCTATATATATGCTATACCTCTCGATCTGTAATCAAGCACAGCTGTCTGCAATTGCAGTCTGGGAATTGTGAATTGGAAACTGGGAATGCCAGCTGGTGAAGGGCAGTAGTCGCAGTCCGGACCGCAATTGTATGCAAATGAACGCGTGCCGTGTCGAGAGCCTCAAATTGCATAAAATTTGTTGGGCGAAATTATCGCCTTGATTCGAAACACGGCTTCTTTTGGATTTTCTTTTTTTTTCGTACAATATGCAATAGAATTCTTTATTGTAATTTACTCTTGTTGTTGTTGCTGCCGTGGCCTATACATACAGATTTATGTATAATGTGCACTCGCTGCACTTACTGCATATAATATATATGTTTGTGTATATATATATATATAATTTATGTATATATATTCATTATTAATATAATATTTAGCTTGTGGTTCTTTAAATATGTTTGTTGCTGCTCTTTTATGCTCTAGGTACCGTCTCTTCGCAATCTCTTATCGCTGCTCTTCCATTTGTGGTTTATCAACTATGTTATCGTAATTAAATTTAAAATTTACGTTTGCAAAACGAAAGCTTTAACAACTTAACTGAATACGGGTTCTCTTGTTTATTGTTTTCACTATATAATATATATATATATTTATTTATTAATAATATTATGGGCGCTTGGTTAATGCGATTCTTTCTCGTTTCATCTGCTCTGTTCGCTTTTAATAGCGACTAAGACACTTTTTTATTCATATTTCATATTCAATTGTTTTGCTTTTCGTCAAATCTATATCGATTTTTACATCGTTTAAAGCTACAATTTGAGATGTGTAAAAACGAGAAAAGTTTTTACATGTCTGTTTTTGTTCTTCTTGTATGTACAGCAAATGTTTTTTGTTTTTTCGTTTTTGGGATACGGGTGAGGATGAGGGACTGAGGCGGAATGTTGCACATATGTGAGCTCTGTGGGTTGACATGGGTTTATTTTACTTGATGAGGGGGCTTAATGATTAAACCGTACTCTTTCCTTAGCATATTTAACAAAAATTTATACATTTGCTTGGCGTTCTACAAACTAAAAGTGTTTTGTTTTAAGCTTTAGTTGTGTTGCGAATCTCTTTGTTTAGTTGGATTAATAAATATTTCAACAAATCGCCCGCATCACGAATCGATAATAGTTATAATAGTCATAGTAATAAAATTAATAATCGTAGTTAATTTACACGAGTTCTATAGTTACGAGTTAAATTCTGGAAAAAACTAAAATCTAATTATAGTCAGGGGGGGCTTTAGAGTAATTCTTTGAATTTTTGCATTACTTCTCTTTTGCTTTTCTGCTTAGTTTCTTTTGTTAAGCATTTAAAACAAATTAAGTTCAATTAAAATAGATTAGAGGCCTAATTAGCTACACCGATTAAAATTAATTGCCATTAACAAAAGACTTAAAACCTAAAAACTACCAAGAGTTATCAACTAAAGACCAACAAACTTGCTAATTAGGCGTGGCCAAAGTCCAGGGCGCAACTGCAGTCAAAAGGAAACATTGCACAAAAAAAATGTTTATAGAACACGAAATAATGAAAATCGCGGGAAAGCCAGAAGGTGCGGGCAGTGGAATTCGAGTCTCGCAAATGAATATCAAATATCAGTACAAAACAATCACGCCTCCAGAAGATTACTTGACTTGTGCATACAATGCAAATTCAGCTTCTTGCTGGAAACAGATTGGTTTTTTAAGAAAACGTCACCACTTTTTGGTTTCTCTAAGCTAAAAAGGTTTTAGAACTGAAGACTATTGCCAAAACACTAATTTCTTCAAGCGCGAAAACTAGTTAAACTTTTGAGCATGAATAAAAAATAGAATATATCTTCTAAAAATCCGCCGAAAAAACTCTTGTGTTTGTTAACCTCTTTGGAACCAATTTGTGTGTGTACTTGAAACCTTTCTAAGCCTGTGAGCTCCTTTGATCTCATCGCTGTGTGGCCGCTGTCGAAGCTGAAGCTGCCGCTGATCCCGATGCTGTTCCAGTTGCCGCCCCCGTCAGGTCGTCTCCTTGGAGGTCCACGTTGGCGGCACTGGCGTACTGCTAAAACCATGACTGCCGGTTTATATCATACGGCTTGGGCATGCCCAGTGCGGCGCGTTGATAGGCGGATGGCGGCGGTGGTGGCTGTCCATATCCGGCTGCCGCCGCCGCCGCTGCTGGCCCACCCAGCAGACTTTGGTTGAAGATCATTCGCGTGTGGAAGTCATCACGACGCAGGTACTGCTGATATAGCTGCGAGTTGGCATCCGCAAACGGATAAGCAGCCGCGGCCGCTGCTGCCCGCGAGGAAGGATGTGCCGCCGCCAAGAAGGGATACGATCCGGCTGCCGAGTTCAGTGGGTTTTGACTCTTGTCCGCTGCATTCCCACTTGGATTTGAAGACGCTCCACTGTGTGCCGGCGCTGGTGGCATGTAGTATGGATTTGGGGCGTCTCTGAATTGATCCAGATAACTGCTAGCTGCCGCTGCTTGGTCTCCGTACAAGCCCAGAGCTCCTGGTGTAGGCGCAAAGTTGAAGGCACTCCCTGGAACCATTCCACCTGTTGATGTTTTCAACGAAATGGCTGCCGCATCGGCCGCCGTCTGATTGCTGGTGGCCCCACTAGTTGCCGGCGTGGCTGCTGAGCTGCCCACTGGCGAAGATACTCCTCCGGACTTAAGACCCGCATACAATTGGAAGCCTTGGTGCAGCGCCTGCGCATGCGCCTGCAGCTGATTATTGGTGGCAACAGCGGCAGAAACGGAGGCCACCGACTGCGGCATATTGTATTGCGGCATTGCTTGGTGCTGCTGCTGCTGTTGTGCGGCCACTTGTTGTTGCTGCTGCTGCTGCTGGGCTGCCACTTGTTGCTGCTGCTGATGCTGCTGCTGGGCGGCCACCTGTTGCTGCTGTTGGGCCTGTTGCTGCTGTTGTTGCTGCTGCTTGGCTGCCGCAGCCGCTGCCTCTGCTGCAATTGTGGCTGCCTTCTTCTTCCTTCCCCTTTTCGCTGGAGCTTTGACTTCAGCTGGGGCAACTGTAGGAGCTTGCTGCTGTTGTGGCGGCTGCTGCTGATGCTGCTGGTGAGCAGGATTGTTGTTGCCGGGAACATAGTTACCTGGCAGCTGCTGTGCCGGATTTCCGTAAGCCGTGGCCGCGGAACTTGAGGCACTGTACATATGAGCTGCTGGCGGCATGGTCTTGTCGAAATAGTTTCCCGCATAGCCCAGCATAGATTGCATCAACGGATTGCTGTAGGTTTGGGGAGGAGGCGGTGTGGGTTTGTTGTAGGCGGCTAGGTGATGCGTCTGACTGAGATGATGCTGATGGGCGGTCGAGGGCAGGTTAATCATATTGCTGCTCATGTCGCCGCTCACAGCAGCAGCAACACTGGACTGTGTTGCGGGAGGCTTGTCCGGCACAGCTGCTTGCTGTTGCTGTGCGGTATAGTTGTGGTTAAGCTGTGCTTGCTGTTGCTGGTAGTTATGTTGTTGCGACTGTTGCTGTTGTTGCTGCTGCTGCTGCTGCGGTAACTTTTGAGCCTGCGTTTGCTGCTGCTGCTGCTGTGGTTGTTGGTAGCTTTGACTAAGAGCCGCCTGAAGCTGTGTTAGATGTGGCTGCGTCTGCTGGGATTGCTGTTGAGGCTGTGGCTGTGTCTGCTGATTTGTCTGCTGCTTGTTTGTGGCAACTTGTGGCGACTGCTGCTGTTGCTGTTGCTGCTGCAGCTGACAACTGTTGTCCTTGGCAAAGTCCTTGGGGAAACCCATGGCCGCCGCTCGGTTGTACATTTCAAATGCCTTATCCGGGGCAATGTTTCCTATTGGTTTTCCAAAAGCCATGGAACCCAGGAAACTATTAAACATTTGCTGTTGTTTGTTAAGCAGGGAATGCGTTTGGTTCTGGGTTTGTTGCTGCTGTTGTTGTTGTTGCTGCAATTGCGGTTGCTGAGCAGGAGTCTCGTCTATTTTCGGCATTTTGTTCGCCGCATTTCCACTGTAATCCATACCAATTTCCTCTCCAGGTCGTTTTAGGGGATTTATCAGAGTATCTGTTTTGGGAGGCTGTTGCATTTGCTGCATAAATGTGGCCATATCACTGCCGTACGTGGGCGGCACAATCTTTTGCTGCTGCTGCTGTTGCTGTTGTTGTTGTTGCAAAGTATCCACTGCATCTGCCGCGGCTGCTGCATTAGCTGCGGCATTAGTCGACTGGTATTGCGCATAGGTTGGATATTTCGGTTTATGCTGCTGCTGATGGCCCAGCACCTGTTGTTGTTGTTGCTGCTGTGTCTGCTGTTGCTGAGGTGTCTGCAACTGTTGCTGCTGTTGTTGTGGTGCCTGTAATTGCTGCTGTTGTTGCTGAGGTGCTTGCAATTGTTGCTGTTGCTGTGGTGTTTGCAATTGTTGTTGCTGTTGAGGCGGTGTTGATTGCAATTGCTGCTGCTGTTGGCTTGTTGCTTGCAACTGTTGCTGCGTCGCCTGTTGCATTTGTGGCTGCTGCTGTAATTGGCCAGCTTGCTGCTGCTGCTGCTGTGTGGCCTGGTTTACAGTATTGGTTATACTCGGCGGCAAAAGGCTGCGATTCAGACTCCAGTCATTATTAGGCTTTGTTATTGATGCGGTTGAAGAAGCAGCAGTCGGCAGAGGATTAATCAAAGTGGCTGGATTATACAAGGATCGCTGTTGCTGCTGAAGTTGCTGGTAGCTATCATGAGTGGACCCATAACCATTGTTGCTCAGAGCTGGAATGAAGAAGGCTTCAGTATGGGTATAGATTGTTAGACAAATAAACACTTACGCGTTGAAGCCACGGCACTTGTTGCAGGTTGTACTGGCGGAACAACGGGCGGCTGCACCTGTTGCTGCGGTTGCTGGTAAGGTGACAGCACGGGCTGCTGATACGGCGAGTGCTGCTGCTCCGCCGGTGACTGAGCCAGCGGTGTGGGTGGTTGCGTAGCTGCAGAGGAGGCAGGCGATTCCACACTGTGCATAGGACTGAGAGCCTGCTGATGGGACGCCGGACTGTGTGAAGGCTGCGAGGATTGCTGCTGCTGTTGCTGCTGAGCGGCGGGTGGATGATATGGTGAGTGCTGCTGCTGGTGGTACGGCGACTGGCCATGATATGGCGACGGGTGCGTCGATTGCGATTGCTGCGGGGTGGTGTACGGAGAACTCTGGGGCTGTTGGTAGGGAGAATGTGGGTTCGGGGTGCTCGGACTCATCGAGGAGTTGTAATCTGATTCCTGGGAGCGTGGCTGCTTGTATTGGTCGTAAATTGGAAGCGGGGATGTGGAAGAGTACGCCGGGGTCTTGGACGCCTCAGAGCCGGAGGGATTGTAGCTGTTTCCACCTCCATAAGGTGATGTTCCACTCATATCCGGGGTGGACACATTAGGCGATGAGGCGGAAGAGTAGATATGCTGGGAGTACTGGGGATAAGGAGAATTCATCTCCCTGGGACTGCAGCTCTTGTCCGGACTGCTCTTGGTCGTGGTGTCCTGGTAAAAACCCACTTTGATGGCGCCATTGAGGGGATAAGGAGAGGCTGGCTTTCCCATATCATCATTGGGCTTGGGAGAAACCATTATGGGAGATGCTCCAATGGGCGAGGCACCAATTGGAGAAGTATAAGAGCCAGCTGCATAGGATCCATAGCGTTCATCGATGGCTATTCTTGGGGAATCAGGATCCTGGCTAAAGGAACTTCTCTCGGAATTCGTGCTGCCGGTACTCGGCTTCCTTTGGCGCATTACCGTTGGCAGGGAGAAGTTATCCCCAGCAGGCGAATGAGCTGGCGGGGCCACCTTGGCATCAGCTTGAAGATCCTGGGAAGTCGTCTGTTGCTTGTCCTCCTCCTCGGACTTTTTGCTTACCTTTGGACCGCCGAAAGCTTTTAGCCAGGCGCTGAGATTGGGCTTTTCCTTTTGACTTGCTTCGGTTTTCGACGACTCTGATGATTTGCCAATTTTGCTGAGTTCAAGAAGAGCTTCAAATGGTTTTGGTGGCTCTTTGTTTGGTGTTGTGGGTGTCGAAGGACTCTCCGATTTGGTTTCCTCATTTGGACTATCATCTTCATCCGTGGCTTTCTTTCCGGACATTTCCTCAAGGCTTTTGCCCAATGTAAAGTCCTGTGTTTTAAGAACCGTACCCAAACTTAGTTTGGGTGCTCCCTCGCATGTTTCTGTGATAAGAGCATTCTTCAGCTCCTTGACCTTGGTGGCAACTGGATTTGCTCCAGAGTGAGAGTCTCCACTCTCCTCCGTTGACTTGCCAGCTACATTCTGCAAGAGATTTCCTTTTGCTTTGCCTGGTTGGAGCCGTTCGATTGTCCTCATCACATTCGTCTTGGCTTTCACTTGCTGAGCTTGGGCCGCTTGAGCCGCCTGCTTTTCTTTCAGGGACTTGCGCTTGGCCTCCTTGGCCAGCTGCTGTTTGATGTGAGGCGGCGGTGGTGGATTGAGGATGAGTTGAGTGGTACTCGGCTCCTTTGGTTTGGGAATCGGGAGCAGCGGTGGAGGTGCAGGCGTTGGCGTCGGAGGAGCTGCCACAGGTAAGGGAGTGGGCATTGAATTATTAGAGCAATTCGAACTGGAGGCCGCAGTGGCCGAGGTGCTTCCAATGGAGTTCCCAGAGTGCATTGAATGCGGTGGAGTTCCACAGCTGCTGCTTACACTGCTCGGCGTGGGGGCCACAGATTCCGATTCCGATTTGCTAGCTGCCTCCTTTGGTTCGCTCACCAGTTCATTGAGAGCCTCTGCCAATTTGGTTGGCACCAGCTCCGCTTTTGGAGCAGCCAATGCCACTGGTCGTCGAAAATCGGCCGCATCCAGTTTACTACCGATTCCGGAGTCGAAATCATCCAATAGATTATATCGGGATGGTGAATTGCTAGCCGAACTGAACTCTGTAAACCGAGGCGTGTGTTCCAGCCAGCGATTTATGTCTTTGAGTGTCTGCTCTGTTTCCACGTCCAACGCTTCGAGATTTGTGTTATTGTTTGTTTGCGGTTGGCCCGCTGCCTTTTGGGCTGCCTTTTTGCTGGAAGCTTTCTTGCCAGACCCTTTTTCACTTGGTTTATCGGCAGGCTTCGGAGGCGGCGGCATTTGTTTGTCGGCTCTTTTCTTAGCTGCCGTTTTACTTGTGGCTTCCTTTGTCTTACTGGGCGCTGGTGTGGGTGGTGCGGGAGTTGGGGCTGGAGGTTCTTTTATGGTTTCTAAAGGGGCTACCGGTGCAGGCGATTTTTCTCTTGGAGGTTTTTCCGCCGCTTTGGGTTGCTCCTCCTTTTTCTTTGTCTTTTCGGCCTGTTTCTCGGAGTCGACTTTCGAGGCTTTTTCAGGTTTTTCAGGCTTATCCGACTCCTTGGATCGCTTTTGGTCTTTGCTCTTCCGCCCGCGTTTGTGTTCCACAGGTTCAGGCGACTTTTCCCGCTTCGCAGCGGGTTTTTTGCTCTCCCTACTGCTTTTGGTGCTTGCTGGCTTGGAGTCCTCGGAGGGAGCTATCGAGTTGGAGGCACTGGAGCCACTAAGGGCGGCACGACTACGTCGAAACTTGATCACATCGTACTTGTCCATGAAAGGCAGCAGCATCTCCAGTTCAGCCTGCTCGGCTGCGGCTGCAGCGGCGGCTGCCGAGACTGGGGAATCCTCCTTGCCCTTCTTGTGCTTGGCGCTGCGGGATTTCTCCTTGTCCTTGTCCTTATCTTTGTCCTTATCTTTGTCCTTATCCTTATCTTTATCCTTATCCTTATCCTTATCCTTGTCCTTATCCCTGCTCTTCTTTTCTTTCTCCTTTTTCGAGTTCTCCACCTTTTTTCCTTTTTTTGCCACCGGCGGTCGTTCCTCGGAGCTGGCCCGACTGCTGCTCAGGGATTTAAAGTCCCCGTCAGACTGTCGGGAAGATCTCTCCTTATCCGCATTCGCTTCATCCTGATGCCGGGCACTTAGCTTAGTGGTTTCCGCTGTGGGAACCTTTTTTACGGTGGTCAGCAGCTCGGAGAGATCATCGTTAAGGGCACTTTTTGAGTATTTCTTGTGGAGATCAACCTTGAAAGGGGACATGCTGCGAGACCGCGAGCTATCCTCATCATCGTCTTCCCGCGCAGGCTGATCATCGGCATCTTCTTCCAGGTCGGCGGCGGATTCAGCAAGGGCAGCAGCTGCCGTTGGTGGCAGTTGTTTCTTGACATCCACATCGGACTGCTCGCTGTCCAGTGAGTCGTCCTTTACCTTGCGTCCACCCTTGCCCTTGCCTTTCACTTGGCGTTTGACTGGCGTGGGCATCTTTACTTTGGACTCAGCGGGCACAGATTTTTTCTTCTGTGCCGCTATCGTTCGGGCTGTGGGTTTAATCAGCGATTTGGTTTTGGCCAACGATATGTGGTCGTCATCGCTGTAGTCCTCGCTCTCGCGACTGTCGCTTGGATCCGATTCCAGGTCCGATTCGGGCGCCGACTTTTTGGCGCCCTTTTTGGTCTTTTGCTGCTGTTTGCTGGGTTTTGAAGAGGACTTTTCGCCCTTGGTCTTACGTCCCCGCTTAGATGATGTGGTCTCCTTGTCCTTGTCCTTCTCCTTATCTTTCTCTCGTTCCTTATCTTTTTCCTTTTCCTTAGCCACCTTGCCCGATTTGCTTTTCTTGCTTGCTGGCGGAGGAGGGGGTGGAGGTGGAGGCGTTGGTTCCCGCTCGATCTCCAAGTCCTCATCATCCGTTTCCAGATCCGCCTTACTCTTGGTCTTCTTTTTGCGCCTTTTGTCTTTTTCCTTACGCTTGCGTTTTAGTGCTTTTTGAGGGGCCTCCGCTTCGATCTCGGTGAGATCCTCGTCGGCGCTGCTTTCCACACGACCCGGCGCATCCTTCTCCGTCTCCTCCTTGGCCTTCTTGCTGAAGTACTTCTCCCGAAACACGTTCATTTTGGAGTCGGCGGCGGGATAGCTTAGATTGGGATCATCGTCCTCGTCGTCGGAGAGATTATCAAAGTATTTTTTGGTGGCTTTCTCGAAAGCATCCTGCAGATTGTTAACCATCTCAGTGTATTCTGTAATATAAATGTGAGTATTTTATTTTAAACTCAAATTTTGTCTTAAAAGTGATTAATACCATTATTGTGCCCATTGTATAATCTGCAGTTGTTGACAATCAAGCGAAAGTCGTTGCGGAATTCATTGAATTTGTGATATTCCCCGCTGTCCAGCTTGTCCTCCATCTTCAAAAGGTCCATGGGTCTGCAAAAAATCAAATTTTCCAATTAGAAATTATATTTCTTTATAACAGAATAATAGCACCCACCTCCTGATGATCGAGTAATAGCGCGGTGCTATATCCTCATCGACGGGATCCACAAATGGCCAGGCATCCCGATGGTTCTTCACGTAGACGAGCACCTTGTGCATTCCGATTTGCAGGACCTCCTCCGTTTCGGTGAAGCTAAGAATATTCGCATGATTGGAGGAGTTGTACGTTGAATTGTTGTTTGTGGTTACTGGGTGGTGTTGTTGTGATGTGCTTGTTGCATTTGTTGTGTGATTATTATTGTTGTTGTTGTTGTTGATATGGGTTAGGGAGTGGTGCGATTTTGATTTATGTTTGCTGTTACTGTAAATATTAGTGGTATGGTGATAATGGTGGGTGTGGTGTGAGTGGGAGTTTTGGTGGCTGTGATTATTCTGATTATTATGATTATAATTCGAATTATTATGATATCCCTGCGACGTTGTCGTTGTTGCTGTTGTTGTAGCCGATGCCGTCGTTGAATGGCTGTTGTTGTTGTTGTGACTGTGGTGCGACGCGTGCTTATGGTTGTTGTTGTTGTTAAGGCTGCTGTTGTTGTTGGTGGTGCTACGGTTGCTACTATTTACATGGCTACATTTTGACGGGGTTTTATTTTGGGGTTTTTGATGAACAACAGTCGGAATGTTTTTCGTTTGTTTTTGCGGGTGGGTACAAAAGTTTACAATAACAATGATAAATATGTTAATCAATTGATCATATTATATACAATTTGATGGGTGTATGGATGAAAGGAGCCGACAACATGCAATGGCTTATAGATTTAAATGGAACTCAATAGAGTGGTTACGGATTTTGAATTACAACTTAGGGAAGAGAAAATAATGTAATTGAAATGAAACCGAGACCACAGCAAAGGGCCCAAACTCAATAATCAAAATCAACAACAATACAGAGTTGAGCATCATGAATGCTTATGCATGAAATATACAATTATACCTTGATTAAGTATTTTCCAAATTGTGTTAAGTGTCTTGTTAATGTTTTATTAGCCAATTTTGCAATATCGATTTTTAGAGTTAATACTTTGCCTACTTTTATAAGGATAGGTATTATAATTAATCAGATTTGTAAGCCCTGTCGTAAGTTGATAGTATGTGTTTCAGGAAAATTGTTAACTTAAATAGGAAAATGATTTGTGTTTCTTTTTGATACCAGGTATGTGCTTAATCAAGATGTACGTATATCTATGACATGATGCCCACATCTCCAACAGCAAGCAGAAGCATAAGGAATGATCAAAGAATTTGCCGAGAGTAAACGGATAGTACGATTGTGTTGTGTCTGGGGATCGAAACTCTCCACCCTCACTTACTCATCGCCACTCTTGTCCGAGTAGGCACCGCTGTTCCGCTCCGCCTTGCTGGACGATGAGGACGCCGATGAGCCTGCCGCCGACTTCTTGGACTTGCCCGCCTCCGCCTTGCTCAGGTTCCGATCCGCCTTGTCCGCCACTTTGCTGGTGCTGCTGCTCCCGCTGCTGTTAAGCACAGCCTTCTGTTTCTTGGAGCGCACCGTGCTGGCGGTGTTGTTCGTGCCGCTGTGGCTGCTGCTACTGCTGCTCTGTGGCTCCTGCGATGGCTGCTGCTGCGATGGTTGCTGCTGCGTTTGTTGGGCGCTTCCTCCCGGTATGAATATGTTTCCTGTCAGCGAACTCAGCGAATTGTTTGTCTGCCTGCCGGGCAACTTCACATTTGCCGCTGGCGCCATTGAAGAAGCTACTGATGGTGGCTCTGGGTCCACTGCTGCCGGCTGCTCCTCCTGCTCCGATTCGCTGTCATGTGCCACCGGCGAGGGCAGACTGAGATCGGCAATGCTTGTGGCCACCGCAATGGCCGCCGAATTGGTGTCCAAAAGTTGCAACTGCCTACAGAAGTTCTCCTTGTCCTCGGGACTTAGAGAAGTAGTGGGCTGGGCTCTTTCTGGCTGATGGTGCTGCTGGCCACTTCGTCGTCGCTTGGGCTGGGCACTATTGTTGCTGCTGGTGCTATTGGTGTTGCTGTTGCTATTGCTGTTGCTGTTGTGGTTATTGTTGTCGTCCTCGCCCTCCTCTGCCTCTGAAGCATGCTTGTGTCGCCGCCGATGATGATGATGGTGCTCGCGGTCCCGCTCACGATCTCTATCTCGATGGTGTCGCTTCTTCTGCTTCTTGCCCGACTTTTTCTTTTTGTGGTGATGATGATGGTGGTGGTGGTGACTACTCTTGCTCTTCAATTCCGCCGGCGTTTGCGAATTCGGCGTTTCTGGAGAGGGAAAATCGTCGCCAGTTGCTGAGGCAGCTAATAATTCCTCTTGTTCCTGCCGCTGCTCCTCCTCTGGCTGCTGCTCTTCTTGCTGCTGCTGTTGTTCTGGCTGCTGCTCCGCGTCGAGGGCCTCGTCCTCGTCGTTGTCGTCGTCGTCGTCTTCGTCGTTTTCTGGTGAGAGGCAGAAGGTTTCCCTGTGGCACAGAAATTCGCTCGAATTAGTTGTGGTAGTTCGTCTGAGGGAGCTTGCGTAGGTTGAAATACCACTAGCCGTCGAAGTTGATTGGGATCTAAAAGATAATGGGAACAAGAGAAACACAAACAAGAAGATTAATAAGCTAGAGCCAGTATAAATATTTTTTCATCAACTTAATTATGAGTTAATGTCTGAAGATATGATGATAATGCACTGAAATTGTATATGAAATGTGATTCAATATCGTATTATTTATTTATTCCAATAAGTAGCCAAACAAACATGTGACACGCCTAACAAATTGTGAGGCTAAGCGGATTTAAATGCAATTTGATGATAATTTTCGCGATATCATAATCTGATAATAAATTGATATTTGATATGATTCTGTCAATGTCTGTGGCTTGTGAATGGGATGAAACTGAGAACTTGGCTTTGAATAAACTTAGGTACAAATATATCAAAAAGCATGCTTACAGAGTTTTTTTGAAAACGAAATCCAACCAATTCTTCCATATACAAAATTAAATGATGGTCAAAACTCAAATTAAGTGCTGATCCTCGTTCCGCTTATCCTGGTCCCGGGTTTATCGTAGATGTTAATGGTGATTGATTTGATTTGATTTGGCAACACAAATTGCAAGCGAAAAGTGTTTTGGCACAGCAAATCATAAAATTACGGCAACTCAAAAGATCAATTGAAAATATAAATCAAAGATGCTTTTGGTATGCAAATGTGTTGGATGTATCTGTTTCGGTTTTGATTCCTGTTTTGTGGATGTGGGATGTGGCCGTCGCTTCTGTCAGCCGTCCTAGGAACATTGGCGTGCTAACCGTCTGCGTGTTCGCTGTTGGGACTGCTGCTGCTGCTGTTGTTGTAGTTGCTGCTGCTGCTGCTGTTGGTGCGGCGGTGCCACCCAGTTCGCGTTCTGCCGCTCCTGATAGAGATTCTCCCGCTCCCGACGCTGGCGCTCCTCCTCACGACGCAGGCGTTCCTCCTCCTGGCGCGCCTTCAACTCCGCGATGTTGCGAATGCGACTGGAGTTGCGCACTTGCAGAAGTCTGAGAAGGAAAGATATAAAGCCATTAAAAATGTGAATTTGTAAAGGTAAATGAGGTATAGATAACATCCTTGAATAAAATTCTATCTAATTTAAACTATGCCACTTACTTTCTCCGCCTCAAACGCTCACGCTCGCGGAAAAGCTGCGGCAACTTAGGCAGAAAGTTGTCATCGAGTATGTGAAAGAGTTCGCGCTCCTTGGCGTTCGTAGAGGTCTTGAACTTGGCGGCCAAGTTCTGCCAGTCCTCCTCGGTGAAGCAGATGACCTGCCAGACGGTGCCGTTGCTGCCGATGCCCTTGCTGCTCGATGCTCCGCCAGATGAGGCTCCGCCGCAACCCGATCCCGAACTGGAGGCTGCCGCTCCGCCGGTGGCCTTGTCCTCGCGATAGAGCCGCGTGCCGTAGAAGTACCAGTAGCCGGAGTTCTTGGCGTCGTAGCCCAGGGGCTCCACGCGCAGACTGTCCGCCTCTAGGTTGCTGAGGATGACCTGCACATCGGCCGAGTCCAGGCGGAAGTGGCACAGATCGTGCAGGATGTGCAGGCGCTTGCGCACGGGCAGCGACTGGAAGTCAATGTCCGTGTCGAAATGATTCTCGGTCTGGTGCAGGCGACACTGTTGGCGCAGGAAGCGACGCAAGAACATCTGATAGTTGCTGTGTGTGATTTCCTTGGCTACCGACTGTAGCGCATCGCAGCCCTTGAGCAGGCGCACAATTAACTCGGGCACTAGGGCGACCTGATCCTCATCGCTGGTACCATCGGAGAGCAGCGCCGATTCGAGGTCCTGTGGATTGGATTTTTTGAGTATTGTTAGTTAGATTCTCTTTGGTTTGGTATTGGCAATAACTTACCTCGATGTCAATGTCGGGCAGATCAAAGGCGGAACTAAACAATGAACAGAAATGCGAAATACACGGTATCTCCCACCATGATTGAATGTCTGCGGAAGAGAGAATATAATTTTTATGAATTTTTTGTATTATTTAGGCAAGGTAAGGCAAGAAATAGTCTCCTTTGAAGATAATGTGGTCTTTGAGTCAACTTTAATCAATTTTATTTATATTAATTTGAATAAAAAGGCAGGTATAGAAGTTTAACTCTCAATTTAGATGTTAAAAAAAACTTTAAAAAGTAGCTGTTATCTGGTATTACTCACCTAATAGACCAATAAAAGTAGAAACCATTTATGTATGCTTGCTTATTGGAAACGTTGCTCCTCTGCGGGATTTTGAGATGTGACTAAAACAATTCCTGGGCCTCTTTGGTAGCTCTCGATGTGCAAAAGTCGGGCTGTATATAATATATAAGGAATGTTGTCAGGCGTTAACAAATTAGGCTCAAGTTACACGACCGAAAGTCAAAAGGCGGCAAAAAGTGCGAGCGACGAAAAAAAAAAATGTGTGCAACATGTGTGTGCGTGTGAGTGTCGGGACATTTGGCGGCGATATATACACAAACATCTGGCTTTATCACTTATCACGCGAGGTGGTGCGTCCGGGGGGCGGTGGGTGGTGTGGGGCGGGGGCCGAGTGGGTGGACGGTAGGTCAAAAGAAAGTACACGAGCACCCCTTTCGCGCGCTTATTTTCACGAAGAGAAAATCAAAACAGACAACCGACAAACGGCGAAGGCGTGCGCCAGAGCGGGACGGCACTAGTGCCACGGGCCAATAGCCGAACCGCTCACTTTTTCACATATGCCTGCCATCTCGCTCTCGCATGCGGCCACTACTATTTTGACTACACTGCACTCGATTATTTTGCAATTATAATGTGCAATTTACACGGCTGTTGGGCAGTTGATTTTGCCCCTTTTTTGGCCACCAAACGCACGCGATGTTGGGGTGTAACATCTGGATTCAATTGGGGAATGTAATAATTATAAGGCTGCGATTCAACTCCCAATTTTTGGGGCATGCGCGCGGCGGTTGTCGAACGACGGCTTTTCTCAGCCTCTGTTTTTTGCCTGCTGGCCAGTGTGTATTTATTTTTATTAATACACGTATATATATTTTTCAGTTACGTGCGAAAATGTCATTTAACTTTAGAGACGCCCATTTCCCAGCGTTTCTTCCTTTCTTTCTGCTTTCCCCCCGTCAATTTCTTTTTTCACACACAGCCACGCACACACACACACACGCGAGTGCGATGGCACGCACACAGTCGCAGGCAGAGGGGCTCCATCTGCCCGAAAATATTATTAATTATTTCACAACAACAGCAGGGGGCAGTAAACAAATCACTGCCGCCAGTTAATTGAACACTCTGCTAACCCTATTCGATCCCGATGCTCTGGCTCTTTGCGCAGATAATTGCGATTCGCGTTTTTTGCGCTCCTGGTTAATTTTATTTTCTTCAGCGAGTGGTGGTAGTACCGCATTTCAAAAAATCCGCAACTATAACGCTTCTTCTTCCTTATATACCTTAAAAATACTAAAAAATACTAGCAAAACAAACACATAAAAACTATCGAATAGGGATTTTAACGCCTCATACTATCGATTATAACTATCGGTATCGATTCATGCAAATCGCATGCAATTACAACGGTTGATTTATCGCTATTTTTGGTCTATACTAGAAACGGCCACTCTGAAAATATTAAAAATCAACTTTAGTAAATTATAACAAATTTAAACTTAAGTTAGGAAGGGGAGCTATCAACAAAATGAACAATAGCTTAATTTATATATATATTTTAAATGTAATATATTTTGTTTAAATAAATGCTCACCATTGACCATTGGGGATGAGGACTGCATCAATTGATTTTTTCTTCGAAAACTAAATAAAGGCTTAAATTTGTCAAAACGAGGTGGTATTAAGAACAATTTTTAGGCGTTTTTTAATAAAACAAGATGTTGTATTATATTTATAAATAAAATTATAAATTATATGAGAAATAAATAATTTTATTAGTTAAATACAAATTCGAGTATTGTAGCTTAAGTGGAACTATCAGTTTTTACTTAAGATTTCCAAATAGGAATTAGTATTAGAACACAATAATTTAACTTATGTTTTATGTTTAATATTTGAATTTCATTAGAGTTCCCGCCCATTTCAAATTCTCTTTTGTTCCCTAACCGATATATCGATTACTTTCTGCCGTTTGCTTTTCGCTCGCTATTCGCCTCTTCCCCACCACCACCCCTCACTCAATGCTCTTTTTTTATTCCCCTTCCCCCATCCCTGCGCGACCAGCTGTGAGTCTAACCTAACTTTTTGGCCGTTAACTACATGGCGGCGTGCTTGTGTGTGTTGTTGCTTCGCATGCACGTGTGCGTGTGTGTGCGTGCAAGTCACCATGTAGGCGCCATGTATGTTCTAGAGTAACTACATGGCATAAATCGCGGGTTGAGGGGCTATCAATTAAAGATTAACCAAAATAATGCAAAACTATCAACGGGAGCTAAACAAGTTTTCGACATCTTCAACACTTGCAAGTTTCTCTATTATATTTAATGGTTACTTAAGCCGAAATTTAATTACATCCATCAATTTGCCCCGGGGAGTCCCACCATGTAGGCCACATCTACATGGCGATTCTAGCCTACATGGCGAGACATGCGAAACTGGTTTGGGCAAGGGCGGACTCTCGAAATCGGTTGTGTTATGAAATGGTGTACCGGAAAAGCCTCCCCAAGAACAATCAAATAAGTCATTTTTAACCCCATTAAAACTTTTTACATTGGTTTGTGAAAATTGAGGTGATATTATAAGAGAAAATTCTATAAAAATAAGAATTATCATTTAAATAAAATAAAAACAAATAATACTACAGTCAATAATCTTTAAATGACTTTACAATTTGGAACAAAAATTCAAAACGTGACTTTGCTTAATATAAATCAGCAAATCGACTACATCCATCAATACCTTAAGAACCCTCGACAGTTTCTTGTATTTCATACATAGTATTGTAGTCTTTATTTTAACGTATAGTTTAGCGTAGTAGTTTCATTAGGTTTTAGGGGCAAATGTTTAGATACATAGAATTAATAACCAATGTAAATGTAATGACGTATTTACAGGTGGTGCCGCAGCTGTGGCAGCTGGAGCAGCGCAGGCAGGTGGGGCGTGTGCGCATCCGGTTCGCGGGCTCGCAGGGCGAGGATCTGCTGGTGCTACGGCTCGATCTTGCGAATCTTCAGGCCTCCGCTGGGGCCACGTGGCGCTAGGTGGGCGACTCCGGGCGAAACGGCCGCCGATCCGGTCGCTGTGCTGACCAGCTGGGGCATCAGGATGCCCCCATTGCTGCTGGCCTCGCCGTTGCCATTGCTGGGACTCGATATGGCTCCATTTTGCAGGCGGCGTTTCAACACGTATCTCTTGCCCGTCGTGGTCACAGTGGCCACAGCGGCGGTTTTTCCTGCCTGCGCTGGCTCCTCGTTGACGGGATCCACCTCCATGTCGGTGCCGGTATTGTTATCATCATGCTGGAATAAATAGTACAATTAGTGGCCATTATATATCAATTGTACGTCAGAAACTCACCAGTTCACTGTTGGGGTCATCATCGTCATGCCCCTCCTCCTCCTCAAACTCGGCACTCTCCGTGTCCTCAGGATACTCCACCAACTGCCCGTTCAGAGTGGGGAATTCAATCACTGGCAGAATATGCCTTTGCTGTTGGTTGCCCTCGTCCATTAGCTGCTGGATTAGATTGGCGATATCCTCGCGCTTTTTCGTCACGGTGAGGAAGTCGAACCAATTGGTCAGCTGCTTGATGGGCAGCCTGTAGTCTCTGATGGGCTCGCTGAAGAACTGCTCCACATACTGTAGTAAATACAGGCCGCAGTCGGTGAAGTTGTTCTGCTGCGGCACCTTGACGCAGTGGCCCGGCATGTTGTCCTTGTTGAAGACGTGCGCCTGCGCATCTGGCTTCTTCACCCGGTACTCGCAGGTGAGATAGTCTCGCAATGTGGCCACCACGCGACTTCGCGAAGCGCCTGCCAGGGAATCAAAGATGAGGATCAGGGGCTGCTTAACGGCTGGAACGTCATCGGAGGCAATGTTCCTTGCTGGGCCGCTGGGTGTGGGCTGCGAATTGGAATTCGATTGACTGGGGGTGCTGGTTGTGGTGGAGGTGGGCGTGGGCGTAGGTGTGGCCGCTGGTTCCTTGGCGGAGTTGGAGTTTTCGCTATCCTCCGAGGCCATGTCGCTGTCATCGCCCTCCGCCTCATCCCTTTCGCTCTCGTCGTCTGCTATCCGGCAAACGTTATCCGCTGTCAGCGCGGCTGGAAGTTGTCCGCCCTCTCCCCTCTTTGTTAGCGGGGTGATGGTGGTGTTGCCAATCTGCAGCGCCACCTTCTTGCCCCTGGCCCGCTTCAAGTGCTGCGGTTCCACTGGCTGATTCGTGTCGAACGTCACGGGACCTTTCAAGTTGGGGAAGCAGATGATGGCCAGGAACCAATGCGACTGCTCGTTAATGGGCACTATAATAAAGTCCTTATCGAATATGTCCACCACCTTGGTCCATTTCTGCACCCTGGCGTGGCGTTTCTGTGCTGCCGTTTGCTTCATGTCCGCTGGGCGCGTTAGCGTTGTCAGCCTCTTGTAGAAAAAGGTGCTGAATATGTGCGTGCGTTCGCGTTGCGGTTCCGGAATCAGTGTGTTCCTCAGCCAGAGCAGGTAGAAATCAATGATGATGTCGTTGAGGTAGGACTCCTTGGTTAGGCACACATAGTCCTCCATGCGGATGCACAGGCTGCCGGTTCCCTTCGGCGGATACATCAACAGGCTGACCTGCTCGTCTGCTCTTAGTTGGCGCGGCGGTGGCTGGGAGCTCTTGTCCTGCGTCTTGCGATCGGAGTCTGCGATCCTCTCGAGAATCTCTGCGGCATCGGTAGAGGATATCTCGTCTACGCAGCTAAACATGGACTTGATAATGCCGCGGGCAGACATGGTGACGCTGTCGAAGAGCAGGATTAGTCGTCGAGTGTGGAAGCTGTGCGTCTTGAAACCCATTTCTGGAATTGAAGGATATGATATACATCAGTTAGTAAGGTCCCATGTTAATGGTATTTAGAGAAAATAGATATAAAACACTACAAGAATAGATTCGTAGGATCCTCAAAGCTGTGAAAACATATTCTTAGGTCTGAGACCCTGACAAAATAAAGCAAGGAAAGGACTGGGGATTTCCCATAGCTTGGGATCAAAGGTTATGTTGACTTACGTTCGTGGGGCTGATCGTCGGGCAGCTTCAACTGGTTCTTGACGTATTCGGCGCAGGTCTTGAGAAGATACAGCGTGACCAGCGGCTGGGCGGGCTCCACGTTGCCGAAGTGGGCTATGACCTTGATCACCTCCTGCTTGTGAATGTGTAGCACGAACTTCTCGTCCTTGTCCTGCAGGACGCCCGAGATGCGGACACCCTTCGACGTAAAGCACACCTGGTGGAAGGCCAAATTGCGATTAGAAAAATGTATTATACACATTTCGAGGGGCGGGGGAGGAGTCAAAGGGGCGACGCCTTCTTACCGGCTCCGTAATCTCGAATCTGTAGGGCACCAGGCGCACGCAGCTGCATCTCAGGGACACCGAAAACTGCTCCGTTTCGGCGATATCCGACAGATCCGTCACATCGCCACGGGTAAAATCTGCAAGGGTAAGAAATCAGTAGATGTTGTAATTATACTATTTTCCTCGTGGTTGCCAGTCACATTTTTTATTCACTCGATATTTTTCCATCTCCCCACCGCTTACCTTCATCGTTCATCGTCGCTAGTATATTGCAGCTAGTCTGTGTCACTTAAATTGCTTATTAAAAACGATTAAAACCTCGCGAATCTGGGGAAAATTGCAAATGAATGTGGAAAACTATGTGTTTTCACGCATTCGCTTTGCGTTTCTTCTTCTTTTTGGACAGACCGTAAAAATGGCGTGCTCTGGCTGGCTGCGGCGCCCTCTGGCGGATTAGGACCGCGGCGCTTGGCCAACGGCATTGCCAACACGAAATTCTTGCACACACAACATTGCTATACAGCAGTGTTGCTACCAGCTAGTAAGTAGCCAAATCTGGCGCGAAAACAAATAGGCAGTGAAAATAGCTAAATGCAAATTAAATATTTGAAATTTGAATTTCATCTAAAGGTTGTTCTAATTGAAAAGGGTATTTCAAAAAGATAAATCTCTGATATTGTGCATATACAAATGACTGATATTATCAGTCCCCAGATATCTAACACATACGTATATGCTGATAATACTTAACTCTACAAAGAAATATATCTAAAATGTAATATCAATTAAAATAATTAAAAAAAAAAATTTTTTGTACAAAAATATCGATAAACACCTTCATTAATAGTATTTTTTTTTAATATTTCGTTTTTCATATTTTTAAATGCTTTTTAAATAAAAATATGGATTGCTATTAATACAATACC